GCTGTCAAAAAAAGTGGGGGGGCTAAAGCCCCCCCAGCCCCCCCGTCTCCGCGGTCCCAGGTGTTTGTGTCTCAATTACTTACCAAAAAAGTTTAGTGTAGGTTGTATAGTTTAATGCATCTGATTATTTAGTGATAAATCAGTTCAATAAAGTATACACATTATTAATATATGTTTAGTTATCATTCGAGTTATAATTTGTATATGAAGAACAAATACAGTTTCATATATTTACCATATCCACCAGTGGATTCCATGCAATGGGGTACCCCATTGACTCTGGATAAGTCATCTTCTTTAGTTTGTTCTACAATTATATAAGCAACATAAATTGAGTGAAACATTAAATTATTTAATGAGCTATAACTGCAAGACTTACATACTTTTTTGTTCAAATAAAATTAAGAGAAACTGCAAAATTAAGACACAATACCTTCCTCGCCAAACTTTAGAGTCTTTTCTCCCCTTCCTGCCTCAATTTTGTCCAACAATAGTTCAGTGCATGGCAAGTTCTTCTCATGAACTTTACCTATGAGGAATATTAGATTATTTCTATATACAAGGTTAATATTTTTGATCACATATGAATTCTGGTCTTAGATGACAAAACTTAATTTGCATGCAATGGCATGATTAAATTGATTATTATAAACTGCTGTGGTAATATAATGCCTGAACTACTGAAAAAGAAATGGTTCAGTATAGGTATAGTATTCTAAAATAAGCTGCCATAATTGGTTTGCATGTGTTGGAAGTTTAATGAAGCAAACATTAATTGTATCTACTGTATAATAAATTATTTTATTAAAGTATAGTGCTTTATGTACTATTTAAAAAATGAGCGGGAGTGTTTTATTAGGTTTAAAGCCACGAGCGCGCAGTGCGAGTGGCTTTAGACCTAATAAAACACGACCCGCTAGTTTTTTAAATGACTTCAAAAACGTATGCATAATAAGTCAAATCTTTATATAAAAATCTTTATATAAAAATCTTTATATAAAAATCTTTATATAAAAACCTTTATATAGTTTGCATAACAATGGTCTTTTGTTAAAGTGTTCTTTAGCTGGTATAAAGACGTATGCACATGACTAATTTCTTAGTCAAGATTGGATAATTGCTTCATGAATTATTAATGAGTTTTTGAAAGAGATTTCGAGCACTGATAAAACTGATAATCTCACATGTGAGAATGTTGTCACATGTGAAAATTATCGCTTTCTGTAAAAATTATCACTTTTCAAAGACTATCCTTTATATAATAAACAGAAAAATACAT